CAGGCAGATCCGAGGCCAGGATCTCAGAGTAGTCCCGCTCCTCATCTGAGCTCTCAGACTCCGTGCTCTGCACATCCGGCCCACTGCCATGGCTTGTTTCTGATTCTCCTTCGCTGAAGGATCCATCACTTGGTTCATCTTCTCGAGGTGGCGCTGCCACATTGATCAACGCTTCTTGCGGAATGAAGTCCAGGCATGAGATCGCCTCGTCTTCCAGGTGGCTCTGCCACAATGCAAATTCCTCCGTTTCGTCGGGTGATTCCTCCTTTGGCACGACAGCAGTGGTAGAAGAGCTGTCCGATTCCTCTTCCAGTGCAGCTTGCAACAATGCCAGGCTGAATGGATCTTTGATCAACCTTTCCTTCAACTGCTCCAGTTGTGGCGTCTGCCATGCTTCTTTGGGTGCCTCTCCCAAAATCTTCAACACCGGGTGTCTTGTTTCGGAGAGTTGCGTCTGGCTGGAATGCCCCGCAACCACAGTTTGGCCAGAGCCGAAGTTCATCTCAACACCCCACCGGGCCATTTCACTCGGTCCGACTAAGGCCGGACATTGGGCCACACGGTGATCTGTCCTGGTGTTGGCGACCTCTGCAAGCCGTAGCCAACTAGGCTGTTGGCTTTCGCCCAGCACCACTGGATACACGAAAGCCCTTGTCGACATCACTGGCTCACCTGCTCCGAATCTGAACACTTCTGTGTGCTCAACCTCAAAGAAGTGCAATCCACGCTTCCTGAGGTGATCTTGAAAGGTCTCGTGCCACTGTGATCCGGCTACTGCCGTCCTGCACCCTGTGTCTAGAATGACATGCATGGCGCCGCCATTAATCATCCAGACCTCCGGATCTGCGACCAGTGCCCCATGTTCCATTGAGTAGTACAGCACCTTTTTGAGGCCGCATTTCTTGCATGTCGCCCAATGGGCTGATGAGTTTGCTCCCCACCGGAGATGATTCATCTCATGAGGACATGCATCCTGATTGTGATCCGGGATATCAGAGGCTTCTGAGAGACGGACGCGGCCGTTCTTATCCAAGCTGTTCTCATACAGCTGCTGTCTGAATTGCTTCAGTCTTTTCTTTCTGACGGCCTCCGGAATCTTTTCTTCTTCCTTCGGGGCCGGTGGATGCATCGAGCTGGATGCTGCGGCTGATGCTGAGGACGCTGCCTCTTTTGGCCTTGCCTTTGGCCTCGGCTGGCTCGAGTATCCTGACCGTTTGTCCGGTCGGGCCAGCTTGTCTTGTTCTTCTTCTCGTGAGACGTTGTCTGCCGCAAACAGCTCCGCATCTTTCCGCAATGCCTTGTAGAGGCTTTTCTTCTCCTCCCTCGAGAGGTGCGGCAAGATCCTGAGGATCTCCTGTGGATTCAAATCCACTTCCATGGGCTTTAAACCATCACAGTTCCTTTTATCCGGCGCAGCCGAGAACTGTCTTGCCTCTTCCTCCCTTGCCGACTTATACTCCTTCTTTCTCAGACGAGTCTTCATGCTTTCCTCTGTTTCCTCTTCGATGAGGGCTTCCAGCACCGTCTTGAGTGCCATTCGGTATTTCTTGGTTTTCTCATTGGACTGACGCGGTTCCACCTGTCGTCCAGCTGAGAACCCAAGATAGTTTTCCGGGGCGTGTCCATCATCATCTTCTTCAGACTCCTCAGTATCGTAGTTCTGGAGGAGATCCCATCCATCCACACTGTTAACCGGAAATGTCCAGTTGACTCGGTGGACTCTTGTTCCGCCACTGCCCTCACTCTTGCGATCAGCCGGATCCCCTTCTTGGCTGGTGGTGTAGTGCGTACCACCTTGACTGGCACTGCCAGTAGACCTGGGCGGATCCTTACCACTGATCACATTGGGGCATACGGCGTCACCATGCCAGTGACCGTACTGCTTGCATGAAGCACACTGGCTGTTCTTCTTCCGATCTTCGGCCTCACGGCGATCGGGTTGCTTGCCCTTTCCTTGGCCTTTGGACTTGGCTTGATGATATCCTCGGCCCTTTCTGCTGTCCGCTGTTTTGGACTTTGCACGCCATCCAGCGGCGTAGGCTTCCTTCAGGGCCTCCTCGTCGTACTCTTCATCATCCCAATCCTCTTCTTCGTCATAGTCCTCCGGCTCTTCGTTCTCTTCAGCGAGCATCGCTTCTTGTTCCAGATCCTCGTTGTCCGCATCTTCCTCATCTTCATCTTCATATTCATAGCGATCGTCTTGTTCATTGGGCTCAACTGGCTCTGCCAGATGTGAGGAGTGATGCGATGCCCTGTGAGGTCTGGTGCGGTCTGATCTTCGCACGAAGTTCTTCTTCTTGGTCGCGCTGCGACCTTGGTTATCGGTGAGCTTGTAGGGTCTCTCTCCCGATGGTTTCTTCTCATCCAGATGGATGTTCTGACATCGAAACCTGAGGACCTTTTCTATTTCGGCTGAGTTGTAAACCCCGCCCGCGCTGTAGAAAATGTCCATCCTCTCACGCTTGGTGAGGGCTGCACGAGAGAGCAACCTCTGGGCAAACGATTTGTCCGACAGCTTAGTGTCGGGATCTTCCTTGAGATACTCCGAGCGTAATCTCTTGATGGTGCTTATGTAAGCAGCCATGCTTTGACCTGGGGCTCGACGGTAAGCGTTATACGCTTCTTGTCGCTCCTCGAATCTCTCGTCTGCACGAGCACCGAAAGATTCGTCCAGAAGCTTCAACATTCTGTTGAGGCCGCCAGGTTCCTGCATTTCTTGAACCTCCAATTGGTTCAGGATTTGCCTTGGCTCTCCTTGGCACGACAGATAGATCAACATAGCCATTTCGCTGTCCTCAAGGCGATACAGAGCACGTTGTGCTTCTATAATCTTCTTCCAGTCCTTGTAGTGCACTCTGTTCCCTCGGAACGTTTCGATACGCACTTGGGACAGACTTGGCTTCGATCTGTCTCCGGGCTTTGCACTCTGTTGCAAGAGCGCCCGGATTTCTGATGTCCGTGCCGTGGATGTTTGATCCGTATCATCTTCTGGATCATCATCTCCTGGAGGGTCGCCGCCCCCGCCTCGCACGGCACGCTCCACCCTGGGGCGCTGCCCACGCTCCGGTCGCCGCCGGTTCTCAGGTGGTCGCTGCCTTTCATCCACCGGTCGCGGCCGGTCATTGGCAGGCCTCTCCTCTCTTCTTGGTCTTGGAGGTGGCCTTTCTTGCCTCCTTCTCGGTTCCGATCGGTCCGTCACCGATATTGTGGGGTCGCTGGTCCGTCGGGACTCCTCAGCTTGCTCTTGTTCTCCTTCACCTTCATCTGAATAGTATGACTCGTAGGTGTAGGACCCTTCTGACCCTTCTCCACCATCGTCGCCATCATCTCCAGGTGGAGGAGGAGGAGGAGCTGCCTTCTGCTTCTTGGCCGGTTGGGCCTCCCTCTTCGGGGCTTTGTTGCTCTTCTTTCCACTTGATGTCGGAGGTAGCGGCGCTGCCGGCTCCTCATCCTTCGGCTTTAGCCGCTGCTCCCGCTGCCTTGCGAGATCAGCAACTTCTTTGCCGCAGGCTTTGCAGCCGAACTCACCTTGAGGCAATGCCCTTCCGCATCTGCCACATACCAAATCTCCATCCCTCGGATACGCTGTCCATTCCTTTGGCACGGGACGGGATGCACTGGCCTCTGCCTTCTTGGGTGGCTCTGCCTCCCTCCTCACTGGCCTTGATGGCCCCGGAGTCGCAGCTCCTTCCACTGGCCTCTTCTTAGCTTCAGGCTTGCTAAGGGGTTTTGGCAACGGCGGTTTTGGTGGCTCTGGTGGCTTGCGTGGTTCCGGCACAGCCGGCTCCTTCGGACGGTTCCTTCCTTGCCATTCTTCCCATTCCTCGTCATGCCACTGGCTGCCATCCCAAAAGTACCATTCACCTCCCTCAAAGGGGTACCATCCGGGCTGGTAGGTCTCCTCACGAGCCTCTCGTTCCTTCCGGATGGCGGTGTCCACAGCCTTACGGACAATGTCTTCGACATCTCTTGCTGTGTACTTGCCCTTGCCTTTGCTCTTGCTTCGGCTCTTATTTCCTTTGCCCTTGCTATGGCTTCGGCTCTTACTGCCTTTGCCTTTCTCCCCTTTCTTTCCTTTCTGCGAGCCCGATCGTTCGTGTCCTTTGGACCCCTTATCCTTATTCTTCCCCTTTCGCCGTGGGGATCTTCCTCTGTATGAGGCGCTGCCTCTTTCTCGGTCTGGGCTCTCGCCCTCTCTAGACCGTGGCTCGTCCTTGCGTTCCCGAGCCTCTCTGCAGTGGCTGTCACTGCTATTTTCTTCTGACCAGTCCGCCTCGGAGACTGGTGGCGGCGCAGCCGCTTCTGAGGTCGCTGCCTCTTCACGTGGCCCTGCCACTGGGGCATCCGCCCCTGTTGACGGCGCAGCCGCTTCCCCTGTCATGGAGCGCAAGCTCCGCTACCAATGCGGAGTGCACAGGGGGTGAAAGCTAGTAAGTCAAAACGCGGAGTCGCTGCTATCTTTTTGCTGCAAAACGTTTGGGCCAAACTACGGCCGGTATGTGAAGTGTGAAACACTATGGCAAAAACATGCAACCACCATTGACAACCGACATGTAGCACTCACATGCTCCTCTATCAACAGCATATACAGGTAAGATATGGTAAATTGGTAAGTCTACATTGCATGAAACATGTAACATCACCATTTTGTATCTTCCTTAACACCTGAAGCGGTGACCCTCAGCGCCTGATCCTATCAATCTCGATGCCGAGGTGAACATGGCGTACAACGTGGAACCTCTGAGACTAAGCTCGAAGGGGCCGTTTGAACTGCTCCTCGTCCTGAAAAGTCCCCCGTTTCATGGGGCGGTACCGCCTGGGCTTATTGAATATCGCCGACGGCTTTGTTTTTGGTATGAAGTGACTGCCCCAAATGATCAATACCCGTGGTTGATGAAACAGTATAAGTTGACCTACAAGAGATTTTGATTAGACTAATTCCAAAAACCATCAAACACCATCAAACGCCGATCAATTAGCTTCAATGAGTGGTCGAGGCCATGCGTGGTCTTTGGTTTTGCTGGCGTCACCGCGCTGGCGAGCATTGTGACTGGTCACAGCGGAGCGGTGCTTATTCGGCCGGGATGGTTGAAGAAAACACGTCTACCACCGAAACCAATAAGGACATCACATTATCGACTTTGGCGGGTTTTTGCGACTCATTTGTAGACATATACTTCAGGGTTTCAGATTGCCTAGCTACTTCAAAAGGCTATGAGGAAGTGCTGGCTTACCTGCATGTTTGGTGTAAGCTACCTACATCCTTTGAGATGGACAGAAATGCAGCGATATCCTGCTGAGCTGTTTTTGCGAGAAGTTCACAGCTTTGGGTATTGAAGTCCCTCGAAAGTGAAGTCGAATGCTTTTTGAGCTGTGAAACAAGCCCCAAACGAGGGACGCTCCAAACTTGAATAGGTTCATTGTTTCAACAAAGAAATATTTCCTTCTTGCAGCTGGATTGCTGAGCTGCTATACATGGCAAACGTTCACCTAACGCCGTGAACGCCCCGAGGTGAATAACTTAGCTTGGGCGCCCTTTGGATATTGGGCGCACATGAGTTGCCTAGCCACTTGCCAGCACGATACCAAACATGGATGGACAGAAGTGCCTGACAGACAGGAGTGGAGTTGAACTCTCTATCAACTTGATGGATCTCGATGGTCACCTCGATGTCCGAACATGATCTACAATGTTGGCTCTTTGAATCTTTATACAGGTGGATCACCAGTCACTTCTTTGACCTGCCAATGATTCATTCATAGTTCCATATACTGATTATACCGTAGTTCCAATATATGGAGTCTTTATAGTTCCATACTTCTGAGAATGAAAACATGATCCAACTTTGTGGCTGCCTGTAATCTACGCCACATTGTTGCTGAAGAGTGGATTGGTTGCATCCAGTGCTGCTGTGCTGTGCCAAGGTTTTGCGCACTCAGATCTGGACCGCCGCCTGGAAACTACCCTGGCAAGTCTCCCGTGGAAGACGCATCGTTTCAAGATGTTTTGCACTGAAAGGTGGATATGTTTCCCATTGTTTCCCATGAGCCATGTGTTGTCTTTGCATGGACATATGTGTTTTTCCTTGAACATGTCATGCGTGGTTCTCACTGCCAGCTAGCAGCTAGGTAGTCAAAGGGTGACTCAACTGGCTGGCTGAACACAAACAGGGCAGAAAACATCTGTGTACATCTTCGGTTCAAGATGAAACCAACTGTACAAAGTGCACTTTTCCTTTCCACAAAATGGACGCGGCCATTTTTTTCCCTGCCAAGGCCCACTTTGCTGTTTATTTGTTTGTTGTCCCCTCCCAACTACTGGGAGATTCTGGAAACTTACTGTCTAGATATCCTCTTCATTGCAGAACGGAACTGCTCGTTGTTTGAATCATTCAATGGGAAAGAATGGCTTTTGGATGCTTTGGGTCAGTTTATCCGTTGGCAATGAAACATGGCAAGTGGAAATCCCAGTTTATGTATGGAAATCATATCGAACTCATCTATTCAAGCATGACCATCTATGTACTGTGTGTTTTCCATTGCCAGGGTGGGTGACTGGAGGATAGGCCCCTCTTCAAGTTTTGGCCAATGGACAATGGACCCAGATTCACCGGAGGACTGAGTTCCTGGACTACGACCCAGACTCTGCTTGTGGGCGTCGGACCACCTCAACCTTGCTCGGCAAGGTGCCGGTGTGGATTGGTGGCCACTTCATTTTTGACTGTTTACATCATTTTTAGATCAATTTAGGTGGTAAAAACCAAGGGTTCCTGTAGATTTTCCCATGAACCAACCCAGTGAGAAATGGCAAACCAATGCTTCAACTTGGGGGAGTCAAAACGACTGGTCTTGAAGTGTGTACTTAGACTATCTTAGTAGCCTGTGGATACCTCTGGGATCGTGCAGCTTTCCATACTTTCAACTGTTTTCCGTACCTGAGATGTTTTCAGATCCATGTTGCATATGTATGAATATTATTTATTGTATATGATTATATATGATATTATATATGATTATATATGATTATTTATGAATATTTATGATTATATATGATTATATTATATATATGATTATATTATACATGATTATATTTTATATTATTATATATCATTATATGATTTTATATATGATTATATATGATTATATATATGATTATATACTGTATATGATTATATATTTGATTATATAATATTATATATATATACATGATTATATATACATATATATGATTATATATATATGATTATATATATATATGATTATTTATATATGATTATATTATATATTATTATATTATATATCATTATTTATATATGATTATATATGTATGATTATATATATATGATTATATATGATTATATATATATGATTATATATATATGATTATATATATATGATTATATTATATATGATTATATATGTATGATTATATATATGATTATATATGATTATATATATATGATTATATATATGATTATATATATATGATTATATTATATATGATTATATCATATACGATTACACTATATATATTATATGATTATATAGAATGAAGTCATCTTGAGTTCAGAGTAGGTTCCACCCTCTGTCTACCAGGCCCTGTCCAAAGCGCTTGCAGCTTGACGCAGTCGGGATGGAACCGATGGAACCTGTGGAACCTGTGGGTGACCTCTTGGGGATGCCGCAGACTTCCGCTCGGCACGCGGCCGAGGTGGTGGTTCTTTTAGCCATGGAAGGTCTTGTTACCTGGTACTTCTTCGAGGAGCCCAGTCCGGGGTACTGCCTGGTGTTAGAGAAAAGTCTGAAGTGCAGTCAAGAGGTCTGAGTGTATCTGGTGTCATACTACCATATACTACCGCAACTTGTTTCTTCAGATATGTACATATCGAGAGCCTTCGATGTTGCCGCTCTGTATGTATCTCCGGAGAAGGATGATTGTTTGGCCTATTTTGAGCTTTGGGCAGTGTCCAACAATTGATAAACTGCAGCCATGTAAGAGAATGTTGGGGATACATTTGGCACTCGAGTGATTGGAAACACCATTGCTGGTTCGGTATCCCACCACAACAGTTTTTTTTGATCTTATGAAACGTGGCATTGCCCACCCAACATTGGTCAATATGTTTGGAAAGGCCTGAAATCACCAGCAAACTTCTGGCAATTTGCTTCATTTGCGACCCACTGTCGATTGTTAATTATATTGCCATCGTTCCAATTAGCCTCATTCGGTCTGTGTCTTGTTTGTTGTCAGTGGACCTCGCGCATTTTTCGGAAACACCAAAGGATATATATATATAGGGTATTATGTAGCACCGTCACTTTCTCGATTATCTTATAGAGCTTGCCTAGACATTACACAATATATTTTTTGTATGTCTTTCATTACATGTTCAGAATAGCATGAGTTACTGACATTCCAATTTTCACATTCCACATTAGCTTTATTCCCTTGGCCCGGGACTCGGCACCTTTCTGGGTCCCGGTGCCCCAGGACTTCTTAATGAGGCTCTTCAGCATTTCAGGTGCCGTGGCCGTGGCTTCAAGCTTTGACCCATGAGGGAACGTGATGATCAACCTGATTGATGGGCATCCATGGGCATCCATGGGCATCCTATTTTCGCCGAGTCACTGTGATTTGAACCTGCGATTCATAGTGAATGTACTGAGAATTTTCGAAGGGTGTTGAGTGTAGACAGTGTAGACATGTGCCTCGAACTCTTGGATTTGCAAATCGGGGTCTATGCCTGAATGCTTGAGATCTCCGTAGAAGGCAGCAAGGCACCAAGATTGAAAAACTAATGATTCTGTGGATACCTTGCCTCGCGAATGAGAAAACATGAATTAAAAACTGGTTCCGCAAGACGATGATCTTGTAAGCCATCCCATCCAAACCAAACCAAACAGACAAATCAGCGCAGTTGTCGAACTACAGGGCTGCCTTACAGCGTGGGGTTCACGGTCTCCTTTTCAATTGTCAGCCTGATTCAACTTTGTGGGTGCACAGCCGTACGTGTCGTGCTCCAGAAAGAAATTCATTTGGTTTGGGTCTGGGGAGTATGCCGTATATTGTTCACTACATATCTTGTTGATGATGCCACCATTTGTACATGTATACGTAAATATATGATTCAAGTTTGAATCTTTCAAACTCTAGTTTCCCTGTGTGAAGCGAAGGGCAAACCATCCAGCAGTTTGCCGATGGCACGGGCAACTCAAGCATTTTTGGATCGCGAGTTTCATGGAATTTGTGTAATACTGTATACATGATTTACAGTTTCACATACCTGCCATGAGGCAATCCAATTGGTAAATGATATGTATACATATATATATATAAATATGATTATTGATATATGAATATATATATATGTATGATATATGATATATATATATATATTTTATAGACGTATCATTATATGTATATATATATAAACTTGTTTCTATAGTTTCCTATACAGTTCCTATATTTTTTGAGGCCAATGACTCGTGCTCTGCAGGCATGGTGGCCTTCGTGGCGCTTGAGGTCCTTCGGGGCACAGACGACAAGGCCAGGGGGGAGCAACCAGCTGGATCTAAGCAGGAAGATAAGGATATCTCATGAATCTCATGATATTTCCATGAAATCCCATGAAATCCAGTGAAATCTCATGAAATCCCTGGATATTTCCATGAAATTCCTATGCCATAGATGGATACAGGGACCCAACTCTGTAGGATAGATCACCCTTCCGGGGGGACAAGTAGGATGTAAGGAGCCCAATACGAGTTGCAAACACAAAATATATGGAGATAATAGCGGCCAAAACTTGTCGATTTAGCGCCATACAGTGAAGAAATAGTCAAGCATGGAGTGTGGCCTGCGAAACATATGAGAACCGATAGAAAGCAACATTTTGAGTAGGGTTTTGCGAAAACGGGCCAACCATCAAACCATAAATTTCTGAGAGTGATTCACTGAATGATTGATTGATTGATTGATTGATTGATTGGTTGGTTGATTGGTTGGCTGATTGGTTGGCTGATTGATTGATTGATTGATTGATTGATGAAGAACCATCCAGCTTCATGGACCCTGTGACCGGTGATTTGCAAGGAAATCCACGATCTCCGAAGCATACCCGGCTACGGAAATAGCCGGTTCAAGCGTGTTAAGAAATAAGCAAGGCAGTGGTGATTGTAAGTGTGCCCATGGGCCATGAACGTCTATCAGAATCTATCAACTTGTTGCATTTGAAACCTATATGGATGAATCCTTAGGTCAAAAGATGAACATGTTTTTTGTTGGTCAGTTTGCCAGTTCAAAAAACGGTCACATATCAGGATGTTTGTAGGCAGATCTGTCCTTGGCCCGGTCCCATGGTGGATGCAGACTTTCCGCGCCGCGCCTTCATCCAAACCTTTGATGATGTGCCACGAGACTATCAGTGCCCGAGCAAGATTCTGTGTCCAACCTTATGGCCAGGGTCAAAACAAGTCGTGGCAATTCAACACTTTGGCGAAGTTCTATCCCCAGTTGGTGGGTGCTATCCCCAAATCCCCCCCAAAAAACCATCAAAATTCTCCACTGTGAGGCCGGTGGTGGCTGAGCTGAAACGACGTGGTGTGGAGATCCAGCTGAGGACCACTGAGAGTGTGCCCCTTGGAGGGGTTAAGCTGGGTGGGTTTTTAGGGGTGACCAGTGACTATCCATGTTTTTATCCTGGTTAAAGATAATCAGATAGGAATGATTCCAACTCCGGAAAGATGGGAATTTAACCATTCAACCAACAAAATCTGGGGAGATCTGGGGATGGAACCTCATAGCAACAAAATCTAATGACTGGAAATTGCAACTGATAGAACTGATAGAAATAACGAATTTAGAAGAGGGACTGATAGAACTAGACAAAAAGTTATTGCATGTTGACCAAGAACAATATGCTGTAGGGAAGAATGATGAGGGTTTGCAGCCCGTCATCAAATCAATTGATGGGATTCATCATTGTGGCATGGGTTTTCAGCTGGGAGAATTTTATCTCAACCTGTTTTTTTACAAACAGTTCCTGGTGACATGGTCAACCCATGTTCCAATTTGGGATGATTATTCCAGCCAGCCCAGTTATGAGGTTAGCCAAGCCATTGCCCTTGACAACGATGGACCTGGTGGTGGGCGACTTTGACTGGACCAAAATGGCGCAGCTGGGCGCGGTTCGAGTGAAAGAATTTGAAACGGAATGTTCATGAATTTTCACCCTATATAGAATAATCTATATACATACAATATTATACAATGATATGATATAGTATAGCATATTATAATGTTATCATGTAAAATTGATTTGTGTATATGCATACACACTATATAGGATATCAGCCAGGAAATCCCAGTTTTATCCAGACAATGAAACATGGGGGTTTTATCGTGTAGGATCTTCCAAGCCACGGTGGACCAACCCATCAGCCATGGAAGTGTTACTAACCTGATACCACTATATACCACTGAAGGTTTCAGGCAGTGACAAAAACCTTCCCAATTCATCCAATTCGTTCTTGCTGTGCTGCAGAAATCTCACGTCAGACATGAACAACATGATTCCAGGTCGATCATCTCCAGACTCTGAGGTTAAAACAGTTGGCTTGTGCCATGCCAGCGCCTCCGGTGTCTCGTTTCTGGAAAAGTCCAGGAACAACAGCGCATTGTAAAGGCTCATTGAGCGCTACACCTCTCTCTATATGGATAAATGGATTTAAATAGTACATCATGGTACTGCTACATATATATATGTATATATATATGTATATATATATAAATAATAATAATAGTAACAATAATATGTACTGCAACTACACATGCACATGTGTTAACTTTTGTAGAACTGTGTGAATAGATTGCAACACTCCAATGAATTAGTGGAGTCACCTTGCCTAGGGGAACACATAACTGTACCATTTTCTGACTCTCAAGGGTAGCCACAAGGACTATCCCAAGTGCTTGGAACACTTGCTCCATCGCAAGATATTCGGCCTTGACAGTGCTGAATATTTGATGACAAATGGCTGTTCTTGTTTCTTTGGGGTGAATGGTTTTATGTTTATCTAAATCAACACGAGGAAGTCCAAATCGCTTCGAATGCCATTGCTATGTTTTGTCTTCAGTCGCACAGGGCTGCTACCACTGAGACTAAGATGTCAATTTATGAACTCCTCAAGGACTTGTTTTATTGGCCAGCATGTGTTTATTGATTGTTGTCAATACACAATGGATTGACTTGACCGATTGCCTCAACAGAGGGGCCCTCTTCGGGATGGCTATGATGCTATGTCTAGTGGAAGCACACTCACTTCAGCTGTGCAAGTGTAAAAACATATAAGGACTGAACATGTTTGTTTTGGGATTCTGTGATCAAAGTGATCTCCAGAGCTTGCAGGGTGCAGCGGTCCCAAGGATCTGGTCCTCAACCCTCGGGGAAGTACGTGACCTTTTGACGGCACAGTCCCTTGGGCAGGCCGTGAACAATTTGTAGAGCTGTGAATTTCGATACTTGACCCAATATGGCACCAAATGAAAGTGAATTCACCACCCAACAATAGGGATGATTGGTATTTCAACTGACAAGAAAGCATGGACAACACAATTAATATGTATTTTTTTTGGCTCATTGAGTTCAAAAAAGGTACGTTACTTTCCGTGCTCTATACTTGCTGAAGTCAGGACGAATTGCACCGCGTCTTGGAACCATAAACCACAGCTCAAGCGGAAAACATCTAGTGGAGACCATCGATGACCCTCCAACCCGAAGAAGGTCAGACCTAGCGTCAGGTCTTTATCAAACCCAAGGTGGACACCAAAGCTTTCTCAGCCATCATCGAACCGAAGGACTGGGAGTTGTTCCACTTGGAATTACTGGCTATACACCTGCATTGGAATATTTGGCTGCGGCGTAAAACTTAAGGTCCAGATATGTCCAGAGGCGATCCATGCCCCCCGATTCATATCAAAACACAGGTCGTCAAGACCGATCCATCGGTATGGATGACCGCAGAACCATCCATACTTGTTTTTGAGCCACAGCAATTTAAGTACATACGTAGAGTTGACATAGATAGATCTCAAGTATGGATTTTGGCCTTCTTTACCTTGATTGAAACTTCACTTTCCACCAGCATGTTGGTTGGGCGACAATCGATTTTCTCAGGGAATATTTTGCAATTTTAATATTTTGCAATATTTTGCAATATGTTTCAGTGATTCAGTCCTTGTACTGCCATCGGGACACTAGGCCGGGCCTTTTTCACCGCCAGGATCAGATGTTGAACACGCTGCTGGATGGAATCCCTGGCGTGTTGGATCCCTTAGCTCCTGACATGGCGGTGCATTGCGCGGAGGTGGTGGCCGCTTGTCTCCACTGGCGTTTTTTCTATGGTGTGAGTTGATACTATAAACTGGTGTGTTACAGTTGGTAGATGCTGGATGGAAATGGTGGTATATTACGGTATAATTGGTATTTGGTTGAGGTCCACCTATATTTTGAGGCTGAATGTTGAAACCTTTGCGTTACGTGAGCACACTCTGGACTTGCGTTTTGGTTATGAAGCAGTTTTCTGGTCTTGATAAAGACATATAAAGACGTTCCTTTCGTCACGGCCAGTGCTTTAGAGCCAAGAAACATAAAAACGTCCTTGTGTGATTTTGAATGATTTTAACTCACTCTTAAACTGTTCTGAGTTGGTTCTGCTCGGGTCTTGGCTGGGAGCAATGGGATTCAAGCTACGTTTCCCGCATCGTTTTGGGGATGATCCCAGGTTGCCAATTTTCTCGGCGCGCAAAATTTGTGACTAGGGATTTATTCTTGCTACATCTTGCTACATCTTGCTACATCTTGCTACATCTATAAAACCAGAAATAAAACAAGGATCAACAGGATCAACCAGGCAAGTCCCATTTTTTGGATCCCACACCAGGACTTCATCTCGGAGTATCGCGTCTACGTGGTGGATGGAGAGATCCGTGCCATTTGCCACTACAAGGGCCCTGAGGACACCGGTGCTATCGACTGGGAATTGGGTGATTCGGAAAAACACATAGGTCCAAGTGGCAGAATCTGATCCATGTATAGATCCATTTAGTAGATTTTGGATGAGCATCGTTTTGATATGTTTTGATGATTATGGATCATGAAATATCTACCTTTCCACTCCTTTCCCATTGCTTCCTGGGACATCACCAGCCCATCCGAAGGATGATTTCCTTGATGAATCTGTGATCAAGGAGGCTGTGAGCGACTGGGACGCACCAAACAGAAATCTAAGGGTGGAAAGTAACGGTGATGGCCCGGAATTGATTGGAGTCCAGGAATGGAACTTTGGTTCAATGAAAAAGCAAGCATGTTTGGGCTCTGTGCAAAAACTTCTTTGAAGGTCTATCCACGGGTTTCAATTTCAAGATATCTAAAGTGTCTTGTGCATCATGCAGCCTCTTATTTAGTTACTGTACGAATTGCCCTGGCATGCCCTGGCCATGACCACAGTTTCATAGGTCTACCAGGAGAACTGTATACCGCCTTCCTTATCATGATCATCATCGATATGCTTCCTCCACCCACCTATGATTGGTGTTTCACCAGCATCTAGAAGTATCTTCTGAAATGTCTCCCCGGTCATTCACTGTGGGGCTTGACCATGACACATGTGGCCGTGTGGATGTGTGAAAACCAAACAGGTACGACATAGAACGCAACAAATTAATTTATGAAGGCAATAGGCTTGGGTGGACGAACAGAGACTGTAAGTCTAGGTCTTTTTTTGGACGGTTCTCCAGGGTCTTCATCCATGCCCATACTATCAGTCCAGCCCAGACAATCCCCCAAGCGAACAAGGCACCCTGTGCAACAGCGAAGAGGGTCGAGACTTGACCGGCATGGGTATCTGGGCCTGTTGTTGATGGTTGTTGATGGTATTTCAAACATTTCAACTAGTGAGTTTCACTGCGCTATGAGGGAGGGCAACGGGCAACTAGCAGGACAGCGTATTCAGCTACTTAGTTATGAGTTGTGCGATTTTATGGTTATGAATAGTTGTGACACTGAGTGCTACGCACCCTGCTGCTACAAACTGCGTTCTGCGTTGTAAGACATGAACCACACCCACGTGGTAAACATTGGGAAACTACTCAAAGCAAGTGCTATTCTTGATTGATTATACATACGTTTTCATGAGAGTTGTGAACTCGGAAGCAGTCATTGACAAATCAAAGATTCAAAAACTATAAATTGGCCATTCCGGAGCCTCCAAATTTGATCAAATTTAGTTAATTTGGCACGGACAGTTTTGAGCTGGCCAGCCTTGGGCCGTAACACAAGTGTTTTCAATTGCGCTTGTTCTCCTCGTACGCCTGGGATGAGGGTGAATGGACATGGCAGCAACACAACCTCGGGAATCTCCCAAGTCAGAGCAGCCTCTGGCAAAACCTGGGAAGATGGTCTCAGAGACTCAGTGTGTTATAATCACCTCCTGTAGGGTTACTACATAGCTACCTGATATCTTGATGCTAATTGCAAAAATAAACAACTTTTAATTTTTAAATGCATACGGATAAAAATCATTAAAAATCCATGTCTTTGTATTTATGTTTGATTCTTGGATTGCGTCACTTGGAAACCTAACCTTCCCTTGCTGTTGAACTTCAGGCATGGACTTTGCGGTCCTGAAGCAGCCGGACGGTCAGATCTTGACCTGCTTGGTGGAGGTGAACGATGGCTATTCCCTGGGACTTTACCCTGGCCTCTCGGGCAAGGACTACACGGACCTCTTGATTTCCAGGTTGGGAAGGGCGGCAGGTGGAAGAACCATGGTGGAATAACCATGGAATACACGTGATTTTGAGTTGCTCTTGTGGTTGTTGCTGATGATGCTGATGATGCTGATGATGCTGATGTGTTCTGGTGGGAGGAATCTCATTTGAGGCTGGGATTGCAAGGATCACATATTACCATTCGAAACGACTGCTACTCAGGTGGCGGCGTTTGGTGGCTTAGTTGTTGCAGAATATCGTTGTGGAAAAGGACTCTGAACCACTGGTGACTTGGTATTGTGATCTGGCGCTGTTTGGTGGTAATGGGGAAATGGGTTGCAAGGTTGCAAAGATTGAGATACTTTAGCAGACCTGGAAAAATCATGAAACTGGAGAGTTTTCTGATGGATTTGGTGGGGCAGCCTGTTTGGTCTAAATTGACGGAATTCATCGGTTTCAAATTATGTTCTGGAATCCAAAATTACAGACCTGCCAAAATCCTGGAATGAATCATCATCATGTCCCTTGGATTTGTAGGGCGTTATTTTAAAGATATCTTGAGAGATTGGCCGCAGCTCTGCCGCCAAGGTGCCTGGGGTTCGAAGCCGTGGCCCGCAGATCCAATCAGAAGCCGATGCAATGAGCCAGTGAACATCAAAATGGAGGACGGCACGGAGCAGTGAAGGTTCACAGCCGGGCGTTGCTGAGGATTTCTGGTGCCAACAGAGTTTCACCAAGTGGAGCCGAGAAAAAGTGGCTGGGCCTTTCCTGCTTCTTGCTAAGGGCGAGGCTTTTGGTACGGTTGCACATTGGAAGCCTTTGGCCAGGGGGCATGCTCCACATTTTGGACCCCAGACTGGTTCTGTTGGTGTCCGAATATTGAGGGAAGATATGGCAAAAACGCTAGGATTAACAAGGATGGAATCAGGGAAACAAATCATTGGGGTCTTCATGGGTCTTCCATTGAAAGAAAGTTTAAAGACTCAACTGACTCTCACCAAGGCTCGTGCAGTTGTGGGCTCTTTGCAGCCACTTTTTTAAAGCTTTATTGTGGATTTTTGGTTTTGAAAGCGTTTTTCTCTTGGTGCAAGGACGCCAGGTGTTCACCACCAATGTGCTTTGTCACCTGTTCCTCAGCAGACAACTGACGCTGGACAGGAAAAGAAGAAAGCCATGAAAGCGCAGAATGCCACCGGAATGCAATCAGCGACCCTGAGAGAAGCCATAGAGTGCCATAGAGCCTTTCTTTTGTTATGGCCTAAAGCATGGATGCCGCCCCTTAATAGAGGGACGAAGAAACAACAAGTAAATGTATAGTAAATGGTATACCAAACCAGCCCTTCTGTTTTTCTCAAATGGACATCATTGGCCTAGAGGTTCATCGGTAATCCTGTGCCCCGCCCGACCGCACATCTAAAGAACGATAGTCTTGTTGATTGATGTTAAGCGTCCCAACTTGAGCCCCAACAACCTTGCCATAAATGATGATTTCTAGTTTCTAGTGGTATACATGAAATGATCATCAGAGTAGCCTCTCCAAAAGTAGCCTCCTTCAAATGATTTCCTTCGATTTGAGCTTCAGTGAATCACACTGAAACCGAGCCCAGGCCTTGGGCTTGAGCTTAGTCTTTTGGATCTGGCACCGTGGCCTCTTCGCTGCCTGAGCGCCCAGAGTGATGGCTGCATCGATGATTCAAAACGGAGTTGTCATCCCATGTCATTCCTCGTCCTTTCCAGCGCGCATCCCTATGGCACCTTGTTTTCCAACGTTTCACAAAGAGTCCTGAAAGCAGAGACTGCGGGATCCAACTGTTTTTGTTGGTTCCTTGCAACGTATTTTGTTGCCATTTGCTCCAAGAAATGTGATTTCAGCATTTATTCGTTTGAGAAGTGGCAAAAGACAAAAGACTGGCTGTTGCTTTGTTGATCATGAGCTTACTCCGATATATCCGCCTGGTACACCTCAGACCGAATGCAGCAGCGAGGGGCTTTCGATCAAGTGAGTTGAACTCATTGGAAATGGTTTGACTCAGGTCAGCAACGCAGCATCCTTGTCAGTCATTGTTTGATGGTTGAGTTGTTCGAGAATGCCACCCAGCATAATTCAGGATATGGATTACTCATTCCTCCTAATTCTTATTCATCTCAAGTTCTACATGCTCATGTAACGAAGAAAACAAGAACTTGAACAGTCTGGTAATTTAATGCAGTTTGAAAATAATTGAAAGGCTACAGATTGGGTCCACAAATCAGAAGTAGATCGTGGTCTTCGCACCAGCGCAGCCAGGGCCTTGTGATTGAAACATGTCCGCGCATATCTGGCACTTAGGGGAAGGATTCCAGATCCATTGATTTCTGTGGAAGTTTCTTAATTTAAGAGCACCAAAACTGCATGGCACTGGCATAAGAAATCATCAGAAATCATAAGAACATGACTCAATTCCGTGGGTCGGTTCTGAATTGCCGCGTTCAACTCAAATGGCCCCACGGTGCGTTTCCGCCGTGCCATTGGACCCGCGTTTTGGACAAATAATGGATGCTCGAGGCTTGAGTCCAATTGTGTGCTCGTGTTTGTGTGTGTTCTGGAGCTCAAAACGTACCAACTACGATCGCAAGATGTTACCAAAGTACAACCATAGACAGAGGATATTCATTACAATAGACTATACATTGTAGCATTTGTTTGTGTATGATCTTACAATAATTATACACTGTAGTAACTGTACATGTTTGCTTTGAATACGCACAAATGAAGGTTCATAATGGAAGGCAGCCACTAAGTCTATATGTTTTCTTCAAATTTTGTCTCTGTTTTCAAAGCATGGCTATCAAGCTGACATTGCCCAGGGGATCCATAGGAATTCCACTGTCCCTATGGCAACTTCAACTGGATCACCGGATCCATCTACAAACACAGTACAGATTGTACACGCACTGCTCACCCATGTTCTTAGTGTTTCACTTATAGTGATGTAATATTATATATATTTATATATTATATTGTAATATGATCTAGTAATTGTTTATGAATTAAGAATATTTAAGCACCACATCTCCAGTCACTTATTTGGTTGGTGGTTTTGACATACTTTAATATGCTATATAAATCTAATATAAATCTATATAATATATACACATGATGTCTATTCTTTTCAATCATATCTGCGTCCTGTTCCAGTTGGAGCTCAGCTTCAGAGCCTGGCGATATCAACGTTACCCAAAATTGGGATACCTCCTAAGACAAATTAGACAATGACCAACATGACCAACATGACCTTATAGCCAACTTATAGCCAACTTATAGCCAACTTATAGCCAACTTATAGCCAACTTATAGCCAACTTATAGCCAACTTATAGCCAACTCATAGCCAACTCATAGCCAACTCATAGCCAACTTATAGCCAACTTATAGCCAACTTATAGCCAACTTATAGCCAACTTATAGCCAACTTATAGCCAACTTATAGCCAACTTATAGCCAACTTATAGCCAACTTATAGCCAACTTATAGCCAACTTATAGCCAACTTATAGCCAACTTATAGCCAACTTATAGCCAACTTATAGCCAACTCCAACTTATAGCCAACTTATAGCCAACTTATAGCCAACTTATAGCCAACTTATAGCCAACTTATAGCCAACTTATAGCCAACTTATAGCCAACTTATAGCCAACTTATAGCCAACTTATAGCCAACTTATAGCCAACTTATAGCCAACTTATAGGGTCACAGGAGTCACAGGCCTGTCACAGGCCGATGCCCTTGAAACCACCAGGACATTGGTCCACCTTTCGTCAGATCGCAGCATCCAAGCTGGAGGGCCTGCAGGTGGGGTCCTCGACCTTGACCTTGTCTGTTGTTGTTTTGGTATGTTTTGGTCATATGGCTATGAGGATCTATGATGCTATGGGGGTCTGGGATGTCTGGGCTGGTGTATCTACCCCCAGTCTTTTCTTTGTGGCCACAAATGCTGGTAATTTTTATGGGGGGTCAATGATGAGGTCCTCCACTGGATTTGGGTACTCAATGTTGACCCATAGCATCCCATAACCATATCTGGGTGGTGAAATGCAGGTATGCTGGTCGGATCTGGTCGGTATCCATGCCACTGTTTTATCACGTTGTTATTTAAGAAAAATGGATCATAAATCATAAGTCAGAAGTCAGAAGTATTTCAATAATCGCATTCGAACAGGCATGTGTTGACAACCATCTTGATAGCCACGTTGATGACCATGTATGAGAATGTAATAGTCATCACACATAGGGACATCAACCACAAAGGGCTAGATTGAAGATGTTCCCCGCAAAAAGACGTTTGTTATAGTTTGTTCATTCTGTGGGCCATACGACACTTTAATTTGTTTGAACTGTCTTATTCTCCCATGCTCTATATATAATGTATATACGTATACCGTATATAATATATATATTATAATATACATATAACAGGGATAGACATCATTGATTCTATTGGTTGATACTGAGTTCGTATGTAGGAACTAGGGCTAGTTGCCCCATGTACACAGTACACAGTATTGTCCGAAGGATTTGCATCTGTTGATGTGGAGGCAACCGCCGGGTTGCATTGATGGTCCATCAATGAATCCTTTGGTGGCAAGATGGCGGTAGTGAAAGCATGCAGCTTTCTACCCAGATGCAAATCTAGACAGTGAAAAGATGTGAACATATTCTTCGTATATTGCGCCCTCAGGCAATAGATTTCCTTGCCGATTTGCATGGTCCATATGTCTCAGTCTTGACCACAATCTGGGCTAGCTCAGGCACGTACACCTTTCATCACCTTTTTGGTCAGATCATCATGTCAGATCATCTAAGAATTCATAGGCATTCATATATACACTGCTGAATAATATATATATATATATATAATTTGTTATACATAGTCTCTTTTGCCATATTTTGCCATAGATTACTGTACTCAGATGGGCTTTCTCCACGCCAGGATGAGTTGTCCGCCAAAGATTTGGCCTACACGATGCAGGTCGCCGGGATAAGCCGGGATGGTCCCAGCATCCCATGATCAGTCGGATCTCCTCGGCTTGACACCCCACGGGTTCTTCGGATTCCGCTGAGTTATTTCAACTCGTTTCAGTTACGGAAGAGACAAACATCTAGAATCTAGCAGCAGGGATCTGAGGCTTTGCGGCTTGGAAAGCAATTCTTGGCCTGAGATCAAAGTATAGGTGTCGATATTAACCTGAATCCGTCAACATCTCAGACCTAGATCCTCGGAGATGTTATGGTCTATCCTATCGGTCCTATCGGATACGTACCCAAGCTGGACTGCAACTGACATGTCACTCTTCGCGCTAGCCATATTGGCATATTGGCCTCATTTCAGCAAACTGAGGAAAGAACTTAAAATGCAGCAAAAGAGATTCTGGATGTGGTTCTGCCTCCACCAGGTCATGTCAAAGTGTTTTAAACATTGAATCCAGTTGAGTGCATGGAACACATGGAACACTGAAAACAGCACTTGGTCTCAGAGTTCCACACTTTCAAGTTGCACTGGTTTGTTCACTCACTGTACATTTGCACCACACCCTCTTTTGAAACAGCGGGACTACAAACACTACAATAATCTTGGAATTTCTGATCAGGGGCTCAAGTGTGTAAAACTACCATTCAGCAAGAAAAGCCCTAGCTACAAACTACAGTACCAAGCAGCAAGCACCACCTGTCACCTATACCAACTACAGCCTCCAACCCTAGCATATTGCAGCCGCATGCAGAGAGAATCACTTTGTCATGTGGAAGCGCT